CATTACAACACCTCAATCTGTTTGAAAGTCTTTCAATAGGGCCCCTCTATTTCTATTTCCTCCCTATTTCCAATTCCTGGATCCGCCACTGCCATCTTCAATACATATGTTATGAATTATTTCGGCTCATTGTTTACAAACAAGTAAAGCTGTTACTATTCATGTTTCTATAATTTATTTTTCATGGCCACTTTCAACAGCCCTGTCATTACATCAATATTTATTGAAAATATAATTCTGTTTAGTTATTTACATTCCTCTATTATAAACCAATAACAGACCACAGAACCCTCTAATACCTCTTTACGTACAAAGGAACATACGCCCCTTTTCTAAAAAGTTTCTGGTTGATTTATTCCTCTTATTTTATAAAGCAGCATGTTGGTATAGAGGCAGCTTGACTGACACCTTAAAAAACATCATGTTCTGCTATGTGAGAAAAGTAGAGAACAACACAAGAATACCAGATATTGGTAAGTGGAAAGATATTTCCTTTTTTTCATATTAATAAGATGTTAGGCTTTTATATAGTGCTTTTTGCCAACAGGGCCTGTAAGCACTTCATATTATTACCCCAGTCATTGGATTAAATGCCTATGGAACACAAACTCAAGCTCCCCGGGGGAGTATTCCATTATCAGCACTTTTTGGCATTTAACCCCACCAGGTACCCAGGATAAGTTACTCCTAGGTGGAGAAAAGCATGCAGATAAAGTATCTTACCCAAGGACACAAGTTAAATGAACAGTGAGGGGTTGAAACAGATGAATTCGCCTACCATTGACCCTAGACAACTAATTAATACAGTTTATAACTAACTGCTGCTGTATACAATGTTTTTTTGTTTAAGACTTGGCATTTGTATTATCAGGTTAAAGTTCACACTACAGCATTACCTTTATTATTTTTTCAAATTCATTCTGATTTATTTGCATAGAAAATAGCCCTATTACAACACCTCAATCTGTGAAAGTCCTTCAATAGGGCCCCTCTATTTCCAATTCCTCTCTATTTCCAATTCCTGGATCCGCCACTGCCATCTTCAATACATATGTTATAAATTATTTCGGCTCAGTGTTTACAAACAAGGAAAGCTGTTACTATTCATGTTTCTATAATTTATTTTCCATGAACTGGTGAAATTAGCCACTCTACAATCCATTAAATTATGTCCTCTAATCCTCTAAAGGACCATAGCTTCGCTTCGCTCCTACTCCCCACCAGGGGTCTGCCCCTTGATCCCACCAAGGCCCTAGGCAGGCCCAGATCCCCCTGCTATTGACCCTGACAACTAAGCCTACCCGAGGTGCATGGCCACTCTCAACAGCCCTGTCATTACATCAATATTTATTGAAAATATAATTCCATTTATTTATTTACATTCCTCTATTATAAACCATTAACAGACCACAGAACCCTCTAATACATTTTTATATACGTACAAAGGAACATACGCCCCTTTCCATAAAGGTTCTGGTGAATTATTCCGTTTATTTTATAGAGCAGCATGTTGGTATAGAGGCAGGTTGACTGAAACCTTAAAAAACATCGTGTTCTGCTATGTGAGAAAAGTAGATAACAACACAAGAATACCAGATATTGGTAAGTGGAAAGATTTTTCATTTTTCATAATATGTTAAGCTTTTATGTAGCGCTTTTTGCCAACAGGGCCTGTAAGCACTTCATATTATTACCCTCCGGTCATTGGATTAAACGCCTATGGAACACAAACCCAAGCTCTCTGGGGGAGTATTCCATTATCAGCACTTATTGGCATTCAACCCCACCAGGTACCCATGATAAATTACTCCTAGGTGGAGAAAAGCATGCAGATAAAGTGTCAATACCCAAGGACACAAGTTGAATGAACAGTGAGGGGTTGAAACTCAGACCAAGTTGAGAAACCAAACTGTCCCCACTCCGCCAAACCACTTCTTTTATTGTGATGTAGGCCTATTATCGAGTGTTATTTTATAGCTATGGTTAATAATTTGTAATGTAAAATTATATATTGCTGCATTTTATTTGATATACATGCAGTGATTTTTGATGAGCATCCACCCATCATTAATAAGATAAATAATTTTGGTGAGGAGTTGTAACACAACTTAATATCTTTATTTTTGTGCAGGATTGACTGTGGTAGTGATTGTGTAATTTTCATAATTGGAGGCAGATTTAACGCCTTTTTCCAAAAGTGTTGAAAGAAATCATTTGCTGCCTAAACTGCATTAGAGATTACTTCTGTGGGTTTAAGAAAATAATAATAAAAATTTGTAAAGTTGTCTTAAGCAACAGTAAAATATATATATTTTTTCATTTTTGTTTAGATTAAATTTTAATTCTATCAATTCAAGCAATACCACCATAAGTGGTAATTAAGAACTCAGTGTCTTCAAATATTTACAATCTCATATCTGAGTTTGCAGTATTACAATGTGTAAATCACCATTCAGGGAAGTTTACTGTGAACTCACCAAGAAAGGTCTGCACATCAACAAGCCTTGCCTTGGGATATATTATAGTCAGGCTTTATCAAACTCGTGTTAGTGTTGAATTTATTATAAAGTTTATAAATGTAGTATTTCTTTAAATAAATGAAAATGTGTTATTTAGCAATTATTTTAAAAGAAATAAAATCAATCAAAGTCCTAATATTTGTTGGTTGAATCTAATATTTTTTTAAAATGTTTTTTAATTACAGATAGCTTGCTACAGTTAATTCATTAGCATATTCAACCAGACCAGTTGTCTTCATTACCAGGCAGAAAAATGATGAATATTCATTGAAATCAACTTGAAACTGCAAAACTCAGGAAAACAGCAAAACTGACACCAAGTCCAGAACAACTTCTGAGAGGCATATATATCTTTCAGCGTGGCCAAGGGTGGTGGGTGGCGCGTAGGTTCCACGCGTGGCGATCGCCTATGATAGGCGATCGCTTCCGCTTGGATAATCCCAACTGTCTTAATGCGCGAAATGCTGCCGAAATTTTCAAAAAAAGTTTCGGTAACATTTATTGGATTGTATGTGTTGTTTGAAATACATTACGCTACAAAAGAGTTGTAGTACAATGAAAATGGTGTTGCAATTAGTTTTATTCAAGTCCAGAATTTCATTTAAGTCCAGAATAGAAGTCAAGAATTTTAACTAAGTCCAGAGCAAAACTCAGGAAAACAGCAAAACTGACACCAAGTCCAGAACAACTTCTGAGAGGCATATATATCTTTCAGCGTGGCCAAGGGTGGTGGGTGGCGCGTAGGTTCCACGCGTGGCGATCGCCTATGATAGGCGATCGCTTCCGCTTGGATAATCCCAACTGTCTTAATGCGCGAAATGCTGCCGAAATTTTCAAAAAAAGTTTCGGTAACATTTATTGGATTGTATGTGTTGTTTGAAATACATTACGCTACAAAAGAGTAGTACAATGAAAATGGTGTTGCAATTAGTTTTATTCAAGTCCAGAATTTCATTTAAGTCCAGAATAGGACTCAACCATTTACACTAAGTCAAGAATTTTAACTAAGTCCAGAATGGGACTCAACCATTTACATTAAGTCAAGAATTTTAACTAAGTCCAGAATAGGACTCAACCATTTACATTAAGTCCAGAATTTTAAGTAAGTCCAGAATAGGACTCAACCATTTACACTAAAGTCAAGAATTTTAACTAAGTCCAGAATGGGAGTAATATTTTACACTAAGTCCAGAATAGGACTCAACCATTTACATTAAGTCCAGAATTTTAACTAAGTTCAGAATAGGACACAACCATTTACAGTAAGTCCATAATAGGACTCAACCATTTACACTAAAGTCAAGAATTTTAACTAAGTCCAGAATGGGAGTAATATTTTACACTAAGTCCAGAATAGGACTCAACCATTTACATTAATTTAAAAAAAAAAATTCTTTTTAAAGTCTAGAAATTTACATTAAGTCCAAGATAGGACCAATAATTTACACTAAGTTTAACTACGTCCAGCATAGGACTCAACGATTTACATTAATTTAAAAAAGAATTCTTTTTAAAGTCTAGAAATTTACATTAGGTTTAAGATAGGACCAATAATTTACACTAAGTTTAACTAAGTCCAGCTAGGACTCAACAATTTACATTAAGTCCAGAATGTTAGCTAAGTCCAGAATAGGACTCAACCATTTACATTAATTTAACTAAGTCCAGCATAGGACTCAACCATTTACATTATTTAAAAAAGAATTCTTACTAATTCCAGAATTTGTACGAAGTCCACAATAGTATACCATTTACACTACAGGTGTAGGTCCAGAATGGGAGTAATATTTTACACTAAGTCCAGAATAGGACTCAACCATTTACATTAATTTAAAAAAGAATTCTTTTTAAAGTCTAGAAATTTACATTAAGTCCAAGATAGGACCAATAATTTACACTAAGTTTAACTAAGTCCAGCATAGGACTCAACTATTTACATTAAGTCCAGAATGTTAGCTAAGTCCAGAATAAAGACTCAACCATTTACATTAATTTAACTAAGTCCAGCATAGGACTCAACCATTTACATTATTTAAAAAAGAATTCTTACTAATTCCAGAATTTTTACGAATTTCACAATAGTATACCATTTACACTACAGGTGTAGGTCCAGAATGGGACTAATATTTTACACTAAGTAAAGTCCAAGGTATTACCAATAATTTACACTAGGTCCAGAATTGGACAAACATTTTAACTAAGTCCAGAATAGGACCAATAATTTACTCTACTCTTTGGACCAGAATTGGACCAACATTTTAACTAAAATTGAGATTTTCATCTATAAGCCATCTTAACGAAGTACAGAATCATGTATGCTGTACACTGCATAATACAAACAAATTAGTCTGTTTTTCAAAGTTCATTACTGCATTTGTATGTTAAAATTTTACTTCCACACTTTATCTCAGTCTGATGTTGCTAAGCTTCAGTTACCAGGGTTCAAGCAAATCAGTCCTGATTTCCCACAATGCATTTCTTTGCTCCATGTTTACATAAACATTTTCCCCAGTTTCCAGCTTCAGTTATCCAAGCTTCCAACAAATCCGACTGGACATCCAATTGTTTATCTGCATTTGCAATTAACAAACTCCTACTGAATGCTTTTCTTCGCAAATACATGATGAACATGTGCCTGTGTTTCCCTGAAAAATATAGATAACAAGAATTATTAGTTATTATTAACTATTATTAGAATTAGTACAATTACGCTATTAAATAACTGCAAGTATTATAATAATATCATCTACTAAAATAATACTACGGCAGTCATTTACAAGATACATAATATACAGACAATATTGAACAAGAATAAAAACAAATTTAATTTTTGAATATACTAGTCAAAGTTTTAACATTGTTATAAGCTTTCCAAAATTATATACCAGACTATATTTTTATATAAATGAAATAGTAACATATAGACTTTCATGGGCTATCCTTGGTGTTTACACCAAATAAATCCAATCCAACAAATTAACAAAAGTTTCACTACTATTTTCAAAATGCTAATATTAAAAAAAAAAATAATCAATTAGAAAATTTATAATTAGATGATAAATACAGTAAGACATTGGTTCTGTTTTTCTATCATTAAGAATTAATTTTAAACCTGGTACTTTAATTGTAAGGATTAACAAATTAATTTTCACTTTCTTAGAATTAGAAGATCATTTCCTTACCTGTTGCAAGGTGCATAGTGGTGGTGTACTCATGGCTTGAATATCACTCAACTTTTTTTCATATTCTGAAATATTGAATATTTAGAAATAAGGTATATAGTGATTTTACAAAATTACAATAAAAAAATATTCAATTAATTTACAAACAAGTGCTGTGTAAATAATAATAATATGGGAAAATGAATAAAATAAAGATGTTCTGTAGTGTCGCATTGTACAGTAGTTCCAGTACATAGGGCTAAATACGATGACTACAGCCAAAGATCTTATAAACACAAGATAGCGTTCTCCGCGATTTATGCATGCAAATTCTGTAATAAATTGGAAACTTTTTACCTTTGACCGCTCTGACCATACCGTACACCGCGCGACTTTACCTTGGGTATCAATCCTGTGAACAACAGAACAGGAACCATCTCAGATCCATGGCAACAGATAGGACGCCCTCTTCCAAAACTAATTACTTTTTCTCTTTGGTATAATAGCGCATGAATGGCACCTTCTTGCTAAATTGGAAACTTTTGAACCTTGACCGATGCTTCTATTTGTTACGCATAAATCGCGGAGAATGCTATCTTGTGTTTATAAGATCTTTGCTACAGCATATCAAGGATGATGAGGTGCAGGATAATTAATAGAGGATTTATTTATTTATTTTATTTATTTCGAAAATCATCCAACAGCGGAAGCCAATTACAGGATGTCTTATAATACATATAAATATATAGAAAAATACAAACAAGTGAAAGATAAATTGATAAATAACATTACAGTATAAAGAGGAAAAGAGAAATTTACAAATTATAATATATTGTGAGAAATTACATCAAAATTACAAATTGATTAATAAAATTACAGTATAAAATGGAATAGAGAAATTTACAAGAAAATTGCACAAAATTACATCTTAAGCTAAAAATTGCAAGTTCAAAAAAATACAGATAAAAAAAATCCAGATAAGAAAATAAACAAACAAATGCAAAACAAGTAAATGATTAATAAAATTACATTAGAAAATCGGAATAGGTAAAATTTTTTATAAAAATATTGCGAATGACATTTTAAGCAAAGAGTTGCGAAAAAAAAAAATAAATAAATAAATAAAATAAAATAAAAGAATAAAAAAAAAATAAATAAAAAAAATAAATAAATAAATAAATAAAAAAATAAATAAATAAAAATAAAAAAATAAATAAACAGACAGACAAAACACAGATCCAACACAAGCACATAGACAAGACAAAAAAAAAATCGAAAACAAAGCAGACAAAACGCTTTTGATATATTATAACTGAGGAACTACCTGAAGGCTAATGGCAGGAAAGTGTGTGGAGGTGTTGAGGGGGGGGGGAATTTTAGAATGTAATTCACGACGTGATGGCAGTGGCATATCTAGGCAGCTTGAAATGGAGTTGCTTATTGGGGGCGCATAGGTTAAGATGATCAGTTCGATGGCCGCTAACCCCAAAAAATAAGGTGATTTTAAGGATTTTTAACTACTTGAACTGTGATTTTTAGGGAAGAGCGCAACTTGGGAGGGGGATGTGGGAGATCGGGTACGGGATGTATAAAATTTTTGGAGGAGCGTGTGCACCATGTATACACAAGTGTGATGGTACTAAAATCTGTCCAAAGCGCGCCCCTAGGCTGGTGGCCAGAAGCCGCCAAGGAAACTGTGGATATTTGACGAACTTGGGTGAATTTTATTTAGTTTTTCTTATATAGGCATCAAGTATTTCCATGATTACAATCAATTAGTAATTAATTATTATTTAACAGGATTTTTTGAAAACAAGTTTAATTAGTTTGTCTTCATTTTCCAAAGTAAAGTTAATATTATACTTATAAAAACTATAGATATGCATGCACCTTTGCAAAAAATTATACCACAACATGAAAAAGGAGACTTATATAATGAAATACAATTTTTAAAAAATTTTTAATTAAATTTTCACAAGATTTGTTGTGGTAAATAACTTTTTACCAAAACAAGCATTTTTTTCAAGTTAAATGCTATTGAATGATTTAATTTGGCAAACAAAAATTGTGCTCTCCTTTTCCATATTTGGTTAGATAATATAAAATGCATTTTATAACAAAAGAAAATTTACCTATCGGAAGCACCACAATGTCATATGTTAACAATAATTATAACACAAGTTTCGTTGCATTTTTTAATTGGGCAATTTAAAAGACTATACTGCACAAATTAGATGTTTATTTTTTCTAAATTATAAACCACAGAGATGAATTGTATTTTAAGCAAAAGAAAAACATCAATTTGAAAAAAATATACATATAAAATTTTCCCAAATTCAATCTTGAATAAGAAATTTTACAGTGCTTCAAATAAATTTACAAATGTACAGTTAAAACCTATTTAATCCTCAACACTTTTTTAAAAACATCACTTAATCTAGATTTTATTATAACATATGAAAATTGAGGGGAATCTTACACATTATGTAGCACAAGGTGGTGTGGTATCTTGTACCATTGATCCCCATCAGTGGTGTGGTATCTTGTACCATTGATCCCCATCAGTGGTGTGGTATCTTGTACCATTGATCCCTATCAGTGGTGTGGTATCTTGTACCATTGATCCCCATCAGTGGTGTGGTATCTTGTACCATTGATCCCCATCAGTGGTGTGGTATCTTGTACCATTGATCCCAATCAGTGGTGTGGTATCTTGTACCATTGATCCCCATCAGTGGTGTAGTATCTTGTACCATTGATCCCCATCAGTGGTGTGGTATCTTGTACCATTGATCCCAATCAGTGGTGTGGTATCTTGTACCATTGATCCCCATCAGTGGTGTAGTATCTTGTACCATTGATCCCAATCAGTGGTGTGGTATCTTGTACTATTGATCCCCATCAGTGGTGTGGTATCTTGCACAATTGGTCCTCACCAGTGGTGTGGTACCTCGCACGATTGGTTTTCATCAGTTTTATGGTATTGTGGTGTGGTGTGGTATCTTCCACTTCCTCTTCACAATTGTTCCTCTCCTGGAATGAGAATGGAATAAAAAAAATGTAGAAACTTTTTTAACAAACATAAAGTTGTACATGTACAAAATATACACAAAGAAATATATCAGTAAGGAAGTGTATACAGTCTTGTAAGATAATAGATACTAAAATTTTCAAAAAGGCAGTAAGCAGAATGAGGTAATCTTGTCAACTGTACCGTAAGCCTACTGTATACACGTTTAATCCCCAAATTTGGATATTTTCTGTAACGTCTCATAGGTTGATCACAAAATGAGCAATTCATTTATGTTTTCTTATAGAATAATGGGGTGAAGTGATGTGGAGGAGCTCAATGATTATGTGTGGCCAAGAGGGTGCCAAATGAACAGCAGTGTAGATAACTGATGAGAATCGCCAATTAAATACTCAGCACACATTTATACTTAGCGATCGCCAGTCAATTGCCCGGTCCGACGAATTACCCATACATATGATAGGGAATTACCCAAATGAAACGAAATTACACAAATGATAGAGTTATCCAAATGATACGGAATTATCCAAATGATACGATACCCAAATGATAGTCCAAATGGATCTGTCAATTTGTTTATACAAAGCTAAAATTTAAGTATGATGTTTAGTAGAACTTGAATCTGAGCATTCCACTTATATATTATATATATATAATAATAATAATAATAACAATAATAATAATAATTATAATAATTATAATAATAATAATAATAACAATAACAATGACAATAATAACAATAACAATAATGATGATGATGATGATGATAATGATGATGATATTGAGCTTTCTATTATTTTATATACAAGAAAGTGAGATACGATACACTAAACAAGAAATCCCCATGGTTTAATAATGGTCAAAATTAGAAGAACAACAATAACACCTGCGCAAGGCCTGCATACCAATGTGTCCATTCTAGATAATTGAAAGGAAAAAATTCTGATTTGAAGATTTGCACAAATGGTGATAAAATATAATTTTGAATGAATTTTTAGTCTACTATTTTGATACAATGTAAAAGTGTCGAGGGGTTAAATTGATTTGACCATTTGCCACACTCAGAAAGTGTCCCTGTCTCCTTAATAGGGAGTGTCTTCTTAATAGGTGTTTGGTAGTAGAGATATTCCCTCGTTTCTTAGAGGGCGAACTGTATACAGAGAGGGGAACTATTTGCTAACATGAATTTACAATAAATATTGTATCAAACATGTGTGGCTTCAAGTTAGAGGAGGAAAATCATTATTAACAAAATTCACCATATTAATACATACAAGTCTTGGAAAATATTGTATTAATATAATTATCATTAATGTTATAAAATGATTAAACAATTATAAAACCATATGAATAATTTTTACAAATAAATACTGCATGTTAAAAATATGAAAGGTTTCACATAAAACAGAATTTCGGTCCTACATTGACATTAATAAAGTTATCATCTACCAGTATGTCCAAAGATATACAATAATATTTGGGGCCGAGTTGACCCAGGGATGAGTTGACTGGGGCCGAGTTGACTTGGGGCTGAGTTGACTCAAATTCGTTGTGCTTAAGAGGATCCATTGATTCATTGAATTCCTTAACTGTTATATTTAATACTGAATTTAAAGTAACTTTCTTCAGGTACTAATTAAGCTTGTTTTACAAAAGTAATATTTAGTTACAATTCAATCTCTATCGCGGTGTACGATGTCTTTGCGGTGAGAAAAAATGAAGAGTTATTCTTTTTGCACACAAACCTAAAAAAAATCAAGCCAAGCATCCACTATTGAAAAATTATTGGATGGTGGGGAATAGGCATATAACATTGGGAGCTGCAGTGATGACATCACAATTGACTTATAATTACTATTATCATTGTTGTTGTTATTGTTGTTATTATTCTTATTATTATCAAATGATTAAATTAAAAAAAATATATGAATGATTTTGACAAATATGAAATAGTGTAGGCCTAGCCTATTCCGTCGCCTAGGCGGATTATGACCGGTTGAGCCGCCGACAAGTTGAGCCGCCGGTCATTTCTATGGAACGCCAAGCGCGTCTCTCAGTGAATGTAGTGCGTTAATTGTGGCGTATTTCAATTAACTTATTTGTTCTTGGTAACTGTACTGTTGTTTGGGATGTATTTCAGTTTATTTACTCAATTATTTCAATTTATTTGATACTCGGTTTTTGCACTGATTTATTAAATATTTTTGGGATGTATTTCAATTTATTTACTTGTTCTTTCTATCATTTTAATTTAAATTTTGTGAGTATTTGCTCAGTCAGCTTGCCAGATAGTAAAAAAAAACTCCATACATTCTTATCATTTATTATATATAAGTTTAACAAATAGTACAAAAATAAAAAGTACGTAAATTACAAAACCATAGTAAATACTGTATATTAACATAGGCCTAACACATTTAAATTTATTGTTTATAGTCATCTGTCTAATTCAGTCGGGTTGCCAGATAGTCAAAAAAAAAAAAACTCCATACATTCTTATCATTTATTATATATAATGGTATATAATAAATATAATTTCATTAAATAATTTAACAAAATAGTACAAATAATGAATAAGTTAACTGAAATACGCCGCAAACCAAACGTAAAAAAATAATAAAGTTATTACATTTTTAATATGATTTTGCATGAATAATAAATAATAATTTAAATGTGTTAGGCTATGTTATTATACAGTATTTACTATGGTTTTATAATTTATATACAGTATTTTTATTTTTGTACTATTTGTTAAACTTATATATAATAAATAATTTAATTAAATAATTTAACAAAATAGTACAAATAACGAATAAGTTAATTGAAATACGCCACAAGCCAGACGTAAATAAACACATTTTTAATACGATTTTGCAATTACACAACTTCATTTATTTGTATAAAAATGTACATAAAATTACATTTTTAATACGATTTTGCAATTATACAACTTCATATATTTTTATAAAATTGTAGTACATAAATATATTAAAATTCTAATTTTCAATTACACAATTATACATCACAAACGGCAATACAAGCAAATCAACGACTGACAAGACTGTGGGATGAATATGTAGCTGGTAATCGGGGGGAGGGGGGTTCATTCACTGATGACATCGGCAAGCCGACTACATTCACTGAGAGACTCACTACATTCACTGAGAGACGCGCTTGGCGGCTCAACCGGTCATATCCCGCCCAGGCTAGCTAGGCTTATCTATATGCATGTTCAAATTCGAAAAGCTTCAATGTTAATTATTATACACTTTTGGTAATTCTGTATCATTTGGGTCTTCATTTGGGTAATTCTGTATGGGTTAGCCAAAAGCCGAAAATTCAGGCTTGCTCTGCCACAACACAACAGTGGCCTAGGCTTACGCTTAGCTTAGGCGGCCGCGTCCTACTACACTAGGCCTAGGGAATTCGATCCAACACGGCCACAAGTCAACTCGGCCACAGTCAACTCGGCCACAAGTCAACTTGGCCACAAGTCAACTCGGCCACAAGTCAACTCGGCCACAAATCAACTCGGCCACAAGTCAACTCGGCCACAAGTCATTTACTGGTACTACATTGTACTAATTGTTATTATTATTGCTGTTATTATTGTTGTCATTGTTGTTATTATTATTGTTGCTTTTATGACCGTTAGTTTTAATATTAATTATTAGTCTTAGCATTAACATTATATATTGTTCAAATTTTTGCTATTATTATTATTACAGTACCATTTAAATAATAAATAATTTTCGATTTTTTATTATTATTATTCATATTATTATTATTATTATTATTTATTAGTCTTAGTATTATAATTTTAATAATAGTAATTTAAAAAGTTGTTGTTATTGGCATTTTATTAGTATTTTTCTCATATTATTATTATTAATATTATTGTTGTTGTCACCTTTATTATCGATATTATTACCCTATTATTACCAAGGAGGTATAAAAATTATTACTAAGTAGGCCTAGAATTATAAGTATTATTATTATTACTAATTAGTATTACTATTATTATAAAAATAAACATTATCTTTAATTTATTATTGTTGTATTATTGCTATTATCACCTTCAATATCATTATTATCACTAATTAGTTATTAAAATTTATATTTAAATATCGTTATTATTACCATACTAGAATTATTACTATTTGTTAAAATAAATATTACTATTAATTTTGTTGTTGTTATTATTACCTCTATTATCGTCATAATGACTAATTAGTATTATTAATGTAAATATTACTAATTTATTGTTGTTTAATATTATTGTTGAAGTAGAATGTTGTGAGTAAACAGAAGACGAACACATTAATAAATAACTCTTTTTAATTCATAGGCAATAAAT